TTTTTGAACGATGGTTGCACCTTGGGGGAACTTATTGAGATGACGCGAGATGATTATAACTTGGGCAAGAAGACTGAGCTGATCGAGTTATCCTACTCACTACCAGACTCAATATTGCAAACTATTGCTCCAGATACACCTCCAATGCATGTCACCAATGACAGAAAATATTCAAGCTTGATTGCGTTAATCAGAGTGCATATGGTACGTCTTTGTGTGTCCAGTCGAGTGGAGATGGATACTAAAGAGAAGCAGGAAGACCCAGCTGAAGATTTAGGTGAGGAGTCTGAGGAAAATTCAGAACATTGTACTGATGATGAGACAGCCAGTTCTGATGCAAACGAGGATGGAGAAGAAGGAGAAGATGCAGCTTACTCTGACGGGAAGAATACAGTGTCTACGGTAAAGTGAAAGAGGAAGATGATGATGAAGATGAAATCTGTATTGATAATGTCAGAAACGGATATGGTGATACAGGAAGCACGCCCATGTCATGGTCTTATAATATATATGTTAGCGCAAGTTTCCTTAAAAATGACAAGCTGTTATCAGAGGTTAGATTGACTGCGATCATGTTAAAATTTGCTTTAAAAACAGTGAAGTCTACGAAGACCCTGTTTGTGGCTATATGTCGAGTGGAAGGATGTGCTTGGATGGTTAGAGCGAGTATGAAGAATGATGTATCCACGTTTTGGGTGACAAAATATGTGAAAGACAAAACATGCTCAATAGGACAGCAAATGGCTCAGTGTGAAAAATCTACTCCGAAGTATATTGGCAAGCTGTTTATAAGCCATTCGGGCATCATTGATGGTCTTACACCACAACATGTCAAGGATTCAATGAAGCATATGTTTGGCATCAAGATGTATTACACTACTTCATACAGATCTTTGATATATGCCCAACAATTGGTCAGGGGATCAACAGAAGATGGATATTCAAGTCACCCAGCTTACGTACATTCAGTTAACAAAGCCAATCCGGAAACTGTATCAGCTCTTCATGTAGATTCCAATAACAAATTCAAATATCTATTTCTCGCATTTGGAGCATCGATTGCATGTTTTCAGTACATGAGAAGAGTTATTGTGGTGGATGGATGTCATCTAACAGAGAAATACGAAGGTACTTTGTTGGTGGCCACCGCACAAGATGGAAACTTTTAGATATTTCCTTTGGCCTTTGGAAGTGTTGATGGTGAAGATGATGCTTTTTAGGAATGGTGTTTTTCTAAACTGCGTGAATGTGTCTCAGATGGTTATCCTTTGGTGATAGTTTCTGACAGGCATCTTTTTATTAAGAAAGCTTGTCAAATTGTTTTCCCATGGGCAAAATGAGGGATATGCTACTATCATCTACAACATAACATAGTAACAAAGTTTAAGGGGAATCAGTTGCTATACTTGGTCAAACGTGTGGCTTATGCTTACAACCTCTATGACTACAACCGGTACATGGCGGAGTTAAGACAGATCAAGGCTGATCTTGCTGGCTATTTGGAAGAAGCCGATGTTTCCGTTTGGTCCCGAGTTCATTTTGTTGGAGACAGATACAATATTAAGACTAGCAATGTCGCATAGTCTATAAATGCTGTACTTAAGAAGGCTCGTAGCTATCCCATATCATTCCTCTTGGATTTCATACGAGAAAAGCTCCATCGGTGGTTTTTAAAATGCAGAGAGGATGCTTTGAGTCTCACAACACATAATACTCAGGGAGTTGAGTATTTGCTGGCGGTTCGTGGACATTATGCAGAAGCAATGGAGGTGGAACGAATTGACACTTGAAGATACTATGTGAAAGGAGGAAACATGAATTGTCTTGTTGATTTAGAACATGGAATGTGTGAATGTGGTGTGTTTTATATCGAGAAAATCCTTTGTTCACATGCTATTGCAGCTGCATTAGCCAGTGGGATAGCTGTGGATTCTCTTGTATGTCCTACTTACTCAAAAAACTACTTGTTTGCTGCATACTCTGCCAACATATATCCCCAAATTTTGGTGGTCCAAGGAGTCCAACTACCATTATATCTGCCACTAGAAATTTGCCACAAACAAGGCAGACAGAAGAAGTCTCGGTGGCAATCATGGTTAGAAATTGCTAGGAGGAAAAGCAAGAACCCAAGGAAGCTGCACAAACTATACATTTGCTCACAATGCAAGCAATCTAGTCATACCCTACCGAATTGTGTAAGTTGAGCTACTCATCTAATAATGTCCAATCCAATATTCACAGAATTATTTACTAAACTGTTGTGTGTCTCACTTAGGCGTCAAAGATTCACCAGGACAATAACAAGAAGGCTCCGGAATAGAATGACAAGGCTGCTATTGTTGTCCGGAAGTCTTCGTTAGAAGTCTACGCTAGAAGTCTACTATATATATCTATGTTATTAGTCTATGTTTTATTTGTTTAACAGTTATATGTGAAACAACTTCATTTAAGTAACTGCTTTAACGACTTTAACAGTGTATATGCACGACCGTTGTATCTGTTTGTCTCTGTTATTTCTGCTTATAAATTATCGATAACCACGAAGTATAGTTTCATTCCAGACCCAAGAAGATGTCCAACCTGATAAACTTCAACTCTCTCCATTCCAAAATTCTGTGGGATATCCTTTTAAAAACAACATCTCATTCGTACGGTGCTCTCTGTAAATCAAGAACCTTTTGCAAAAATCTAAATGAGATTTCTAATGAAGAGCGGTTTTTAAGAGGCGTTGATGTAATAACCTTGAAAATTTCATGGGTCTGGGATCAACATGGGAGGGATGATGCATTCTTTAGGCGCTGTTTGGAGTGTAGCAATCCTACATCGCAATTCTTGAGAGGCGGTTCTCTAATCATCTTTGAAGACAGCGTCCAAGCAGGGTTTGATTTAATAAAGGTGTCATCAAAGGGAGGATGCCTCATGGCTACTTACTCCGTGGTTATGTTCTTTTTAACCATGGATGGCAGCCATGATGTATTTAACTCCATGCATTGTCTACTTACAGCAGAGGCAACAAAGATGAGGAAGACTATGCAGCACATCAACAGGTCTCAGTGTACTTATAAGAAGCCTCACGAGTTTCATGAACCGGTCTTCCAGGTTTTTGCTAAAGCACAATCAAGGAGTTGTGTTTGTATGAATCTGCAAAACCAGCGCTGGATGGATGATGAAAACCTTGTCGACGCATATGGTGACAAACTATGCAGTCCTTGCTTCTAGAAGTTGGAATGTGCCATATTAAGGAAAACAATTCCTTGTCGACCGCATTGACATTTTTTTTTTTTGTGTCGCCTTCTATGTTTAATTGACATTAGTAGACTTATGTAGTAGACTTCTTATCTAGAATTATATTTATTGTAAGCAATATATTATATTTCTGTCTTCTAATAAACTTCTTCTGTAGACATGATCAAGAGTACATATTCAATAATATTGCACATGAGTCAGTGTTACGAAGCTACTCGATAGTTATAAATACGAGACATGTTTAATTACATAGTAGACTTCAGTCATAGACTTCAGTCGTAAACTTCAGTAAAATTACAAAATCCAAAACGAAATTAAAACATATTTGGCATGTTAATTATATGATAGGTGACCAAAAAACTTCCACATCTATCATCTACCAATTGTTAAAATTACCTGCAATCACATTGCAGGTCATTTATGTAAGTAGCCCAAAAGTTGCCATAAAAAACAAGTTAGTTTTAAAATACACATACCCTAAACTTTTCTATCATAGTGATCCAGCCCTGTAGCATCTAACTTATTTTTCCCCCTAGCACCGGTTTATTCAAAGATCTCTGCAGCCATTTTCTCCCTGATTGCTCGGATGTTTTTATCACAAAGTCGCGGAGGATATGGCAAATCCAGAGCATGACACTCATTGTACTTCAGGCAGTAGACTCCGCAATCACCACTCTGATAGTTTTGAAGTAACTCCATTCCTGGTACTCGCACATGTGTGAAAGGCGTGTAGGGGAATTTTTATTTGTCTTCAGTATGTGCACATTGAAGAAGGTAGGGTATCATAACAGCCAGAGGCTCCACAGCTTCGTCAATTTTGGCGTCAGATGCATGTTTTGTTCCCGCATGACTATAACATATCGTGATATGCCTCATCAAAAATGAAACCCAGATAGCTACGCAATGGTCCCGGGTGATGTGTAACATTGAGTACAAATGGTCGAATTTATTGGCCCACATCTTTTTAGTCATGCTATAGATAGGTAATTCGCCTACGAAGTACGAAAACGCACCAGGTTGTAGAAGTCTGCCTAAACCATCTTCATTCGGGTCAGAGTTAACAAAGTCTTTGTAGTCACGCCTCCAAACCGTAGCAAACATGGATTTGAGGAAGCAAATCCGATCGGATACAAACCACTCAGGCTGCTTGGTGAATCGAAGCCTGAGTAAGTTAATATAAGCTTCCATGTGCTGCATATTGATGAAAATAAGAAATGAGGGAAGTCATCAAACGAAGTCTACTTAATAAGTCTACATATGAAGTCTATGCATGAAGTCTACTATTAAAGGTTAAAAACACAAACCATATCAGCTAGCCATTGCCTCGGTGTCCGTAGAATTAAAGACCATTTGATCGTAGATTGTGTTAGAAGTTTTGGCCAGACATTGTATAAGAGAACAAGCCAGACAAAGGAAAATAAGGATATGATGAAGTCTACTTATAGGTGTACTGAATAATATAAGTAGAGAAGTCTACTAACGGGTTTGATTTCACATATTTCATTAGAGTCGCATGCTTCTCCTTAACACCATTTTTATCGAAAAGATCATATCCACGGCCACGGCTGTTGTGAGAGCCCGACGTTGGAATGATGGTCTTTGCAGTGCTACTTCCTAGGAAAGGACTCTTCTGTGTTGCAGCTAGATGATGATTTATCTCACTCTTTGTCTGGGCCACTATCTGAGCCGCTGCTCTTGCTTTACTATTTTTTCCAATTTGAATTGCTTCGAAATCAACATCACCCGTCGCCGGGTCAACTCCAATTTGAATTGCTTGTATTGGGGGCCTCTTCTTGGTCTACAGCAGCCTTCTTTCCTTTTGCATTCCCAGGGGCATTAACACTCCCACTCGCACCAACGTTCACATTATCTTTCTTAGGAGCATCTTCTTTCTCTGAATTAGTCTGCAGTTTATTGTCACAAACAGGCATGAATATACAAATAACAACACCATTGCTATAATTTAGTAACATGTTTCATCATAGTCTGGAAATTGGAAACAACTAGTTTTTAAAACATAAGTAAATAAGCTCACACAGTACATAGAACTATTTAAACATGTTCGAATTCAAATGACATTAGTATTAAGTGTTCCTAGCTTTCGATGATCTTGTTCGCATGAAATCTTTTTGTATAGTCGGAGAGTTTTTGGTACTAAACCCTTCACGCTTCTTGAATCCAGTGACCTGCTGCTGGCTCGGCTCTACATTGTCTTTAACCTGTTTGTCAGTGTTCTTAGACGTCCCTGTTGTCAACTCCTCTACCGCGCGCTCTACTGATTCAACCTTATCGGTGAGAAGATTGATCTGCTTTTCACAGCTACCAAGACCATTCAGCATCTTGGTTGAGAAGCTTTTGAAGCATTGGTCGAAGTGCGCTTTCATAGTAGCGACAACTCCGACCCCTTGATCACCAACGAAAGAGGCGGCAGAGGCAGAGGCTGTGCAGGTTTTCTTGCGGCTTGATTTATCTGAGGGAAAGCTCCTTTTTTGTGCTTCTGCCTTGAGGATGTGTGAACCCAAAACACCTTCCAGAGGCCAATGATTTTTGGAAAACTTGAATTGGAGGTCATGGATTGCATCGACAATCTTGACAATATCCGGATCCTATTGCTCATCATCCCAAACCGGAAACATATTTGGGCCACGCAGCACTGTATGCGAGCCTAGAAAAACATAATTCAACCACTGAAATCTACTTCATAAATGAATTACTATATAGAAGTCTACGTATGAAATCTACCACTGAAATCTACTTCATAAATGAATTACTATATAGAAGTCTACTACGGAACAAGACTTATAAATAAATCAATAATACCTGTTTTAGCATGTTGGCTTTGGCGTTCTTTTGTCCCCTTGATTCTTTGTAAGCCAGCAGAAGAGGTGTAGGATCATTTGGCAATGGTTTGCCAAATTCAGCAGCAAAATCCGGAAGAGCATAGTATACCCATACTTGAAGAGCTTGAACAAATCGTTCTATATGAATATTTTTGCTGAGATCTTTATCTTTGACAGACTTGATCAGATGCTGAAAAGCAATTCTTCCGCATGGGAACTCCTTAAAATCTTCGAAATCTATCACTAGTCTGGCATGGTTAGCATTTGTAGATGTGGTTGGTTTCGTTGCCACTATGAAACCAACATAGTTCCCAAGATATCCCAAACGCAGCCTATCATCGTGAGACCATGATGAGCAGTTGGAATAGGCTTCAATTATTTCAATTATTTCAAGTCGACATCAACCCCCATTTGCTCACAGAATACGCGTATTTCATCGGAAAGCTTAAGATTAGCTAGAGCCAAGTCATCTACGTACCCGCAGTTGAGTCCGGTGATTTCCTCAAACTCATGCAATGAAAACTTCACTGGAGTGGTACCAATCTGGCTTCATATCTCGTACCTCTGATTGCAAACTATCTGAAAGGTGAGAATGTGGTGCACCAGCCTAGAAGCCCAACCAAAATCCAAGTGGTGGAACTTTAAGAAGACACCCAACGGTGACTCATAAATCTCTTCCCATTCATCCTCTCGTAGAGCTTCCCGTAGTGCAGGTACCAACCTATAATCATCAGCATAATAGCTGATGCTTTTGTCCGAGACTGGTTCACCGCCTTTAGTGTACAATCTTCACGGGAATTCAGAGGCCTCCATTATCTAACACAGTATTCTGCATCAACGGTAAAAGAGCTTTAATCAGAAAACTCGTTATAACTAACGATTTGAAACTATAAACGAATGAAGTCTACTTTTTCACAACGAAGTCTACTTTTGCAAAATGAAGTATACTTTTGCAAAATGAAGTCTACTTTTTAAAATAAAGTATACTTTTCAAAATGAAGTCTACTTTTTCAAATTCTAAGTACACTCCGACTCGAGAAATCTATTGAAGCCAACCGAGGCAATCAATACATCAAAAATACAGTATGTGAAGTCTACTGAAGCCAACCGAAGCAATCAATACATCAAAAATACAGTATATGAAGTATACTGAAGCTAACCGAAGCAATCAATACATCAAAAATACAGTATATGAAGTCTACTAAAAGCAATCAATCCAAATGGAATCTACAAAGTAAGTGGTTACAGCCATGATTAGATAAAACCGGTGTCGAGAAAATGCTACTAGTTCTGCAAAAAAAAACTATGTACTCAAACCCGACGGACAAAATTACAGGAAGATAGAAGAAAATAGAGGAACAGCTAGGTATATAGCTTCAGAAGGACATCTACTTACTGTTTTGAAGCAGGAAATGACGTTACAGTAAGGCGGCGAAAGAAGGCGGTTTGTTTAATTTATTCGGTTTAGCAGACTTCAATATAGAAGTATACTAAGTTTAAAGCCTAAATAATATATTTTCTTTTTCCTAATTTAAAAACATAAATTTAAATTTATCAATATGATAAAATAATTTATGTATATTTGGGTTACAATTACCTAATTAATGAATGTAATTTTGATACCAAAATATTTTTTTTCTTAAATTTTGATACCAAAATAATTTTTCTTAAATTTTAAATTAAATTTTTTGATTTAATTATATAGTAGACTTTATTTCGTTTGAAAGAAGTCTACATTCAGTCTTTAGTAGATTTCTTCAAGGTTTAAACGGTAATTAGGACATCCGTTTTTTGTTTGGTCATATAGTATTAAATGGTCTTTTTACCACCCTTTTAGGTTATTTTTACCAAATGTTTTTTCAAGGGTCTACTTTTGTATTCAGAGTCAAGTTTTAGGTTATTTTTAGCAAAAACCTCATCATTCAACAATTTATACCAATCAACCTAGAGATTCTGTAACACATTCCCAAATAACTTCCATCAATGGTACTCATTCTCTGCCGCCACCGATTCTGGACTTGAAAAGTTACCAATGCCACCACCCTTAACAGGGCTTGACTATGGCTCGTCAGCCATTTCTCGATCATTATAGCTTCACAATATTCAGTCCCTCTGTAACACCCCGGTCCTTGGTTCCAAAAGAAACCAAACTAAACCGGCAGTATTATCTAACCTAACCAATAATTCCTGAATAATCCTTAAATCTTATTCCAAATCAAACCAAATCCAGTCTTACAATAGAAATGAATAACTTGAATAAATCCAAAAATAATCAGAAAACAATATCTTAAAAGAAAATACGAAAAATAGTTCTTAAAGCGATAAAAATCTTCCTCCATCTCTGAAGGCACACCACACTAGAGCTACTCGTCTAGTTCCTCCCAGACATCATCACAATCACATTCATCACACTCACCTGCAATATGGATTTAAAAGAGAGGGGTGAGTAATTTGGGGAAATTACTCAGTGAGAACCAAACCAGACTCCCTTCCCACTCATTTATTTTCCACCAACATGTCAAGAATAAATCCAACAAGCAACACACAAGCATCCTAGCGATGCACAAACAACTAGCAAGCAATGATGTCTCCAACCCGCCTATCACACAAGGCCACACCTCCCAGTCACACAGCTTCAAAATAAATAGTCCCTCTGTAACACCCCGGTCCTGGGTTCCAAAGGAAACCAGACTAAACCGGCAGTATTATCTAACCTAACCAATAATTCCTGAGTAATCCTTAAATCTTATTCCAAATCAAACCAAATCTAGTCTTACAATAGAAATGAATAACTTGAATAAATCCGAAAATAATCAGAAAACAATATCTTAAAAGAAAATACGAAAAAGAGTTCTTAAAGTGATAAAAATCTTCCTCCATCTCTGAAGGCACACCACACAAGAGCTACTCGTCTAGTTCCTCCCAGACATCATCACAATCACATTCATCACACTCACCTGCAATATGGATTTAAAAGAGAGGGGTGAGTAATTTGGGGAAATTACTCAGTGAGAACCAAACCAGACTCCCTTCCCACTCATTTATTTTCCACCAACATGTCAAGAATAAATCCAACAAGCAACACACAAGCATCCTAGCGATGCACAAACAACTAGCAAGCAATGATGTCTCCAACCCGCCTATCACACAAGGCCACACCTCCCAGTCACACAGCTTCAAAATATCCAGTCCCTCTGTAACACCCCGGTCCTGAGTTCCAAAGGAAACCAGACTTAACCCGGCAGTATTATCTAACCTAACCAATAATTCCTGAGTAATCCTTAAATCTTATTCCAAATCAAACCAAATCTAGTCTTACAATAGAAATGAATAACTTGAATAAATCCGAAAATAATCAGAAAACAATATCTTAAAAGAAAATACAAAAAATAGTTCTTAAAGCGATAAAAATCTCCTCCATCTC